GCTGCCAGGATGTGGCAGAGGGTTTCGCCCAGGGCTTTCTGTGCCCCTCTACCTCTCCTGGACCGTTCCAGGTCCCAGCCCAAGAGCTGCTGCCCCTGGTTCAGGTGAGACAGCTCAAGGCATCCTGCACAGGCGACCAACACGGCGTCCTTGCTGTGACGTGCTCCTTGTGGCAACCAGCGGTCCGGAGCTCTCTAGCAAAGAGGCTGCAGTTGAATTGAACGCTGGTTTCACTGAGGATCATGTATTTGGGCTTGTCCTGGTCTCTCACCTGGTGTGGGTCACCATGGCTTGAGCTGCCCTGCTAGCGATGGAGTAGGACATATATGTATATATATATATATATTTAATTTCTGAGCAGAGTAGGTGGTTGTTGTGCAATTCCATAGACCTATTTATAGGCTTGTGTCCTGCAGCCCTGTCTTGCAGTGTGCTCTGCTCCTCCAGTGCATCTAGGGGTGGAGACCCAAAGTTACCTTTCCTCCCAAAACGTCATTTTGCTCTGTTTCCTACCAGCAGTGCGAGCTCTAGGTACCGAGTTAGACTTAGGAGCCTGGGAGCAAGAGTTTCGTCCTGGCTTTCACATCTTCCATAGACCCCGGTGACTATATCAGCAGATCCAGATGTATCTTCTAGGACTTCCCAATATACCTCCTGGCCCTCTTTAGAAGCAAGAAGTTCTGTCCAGGTGTGCAGAAGACCAAATCCAACTGCAGCAGATGCTCTGAGGAGCCGAGTTATGAGGGAATGTAGCAGGAAAATATTGTGTTAATTTAGGGACTCGGCTGCATGCTCAGCGTAGCTCAAATCTGATTCTGAAAAAATGAAAAGCATCCAGCCTTCCAGTCTAATGACTACAAAATGTCTGGGGATCCTTTGAGTAGAATAAGCTCTGACGCCTGTACAGGAGACCTCCTTAATGTTATTCCCTGAAGCTCCTAATCTAATCTAAAAGATTTTGGTATGTAAGTGGTAGGGAAGAGAGGGATCAAATACTGGCTGTATTTGTACCTCTTCTTTATATATATGTATATATGTATTTATTTCTTTTTTGCAGCAAAATAGCATTTGTCCCTCAAACTGTTACTATCCTGGGTTTCAACACGGTTGACTTTGGTCGTGGTGGTGACTGGCAGCGCAATGGGATGATGGACAAGGGATGTTGGAGATGTGCTGGAACAGGTAAATACCCTCTTGGGGAAGTGGTGTGGACCCTCAGAGGAGACTCCCCTGACTAGGGCCTGATTCTTGTGTACCAACGTGGTTCTTGAGGCCAGTGCTGGAAGACTGTAGGGAGATGACTGGAAGACGTCCCCAGCTGCAAGCCCACCATGAGAAGACTTAGTTAAGCTTCTTAGTTAAGCTTAGGCTTTTATTTTTTTTAATGCACAAGAATATGGCTTTCATCAGGGAACGCTATGAGCACTCAGTAAACACTCGTGGACCCGGCTGTTTGCAAAAAGTTTGGAGTTTTACTGCTTGCATCTCCTGGAAAATTCACTTCCTTTGGGAAAGCCACCTTGGAGGTGCAAAGCTGTAATGATCCAGTACGTGTTCACAGGTGCCGTGGTGCATCGTGGCCACCCTCACAGCACGGCTGTGGGTGACGCATAAGGAAATAGCACGCGCTGTGCTAAGCTCAAAATGCTCCTTGGGAATCCGTGATGTTGGTGGCAGGCGGCGTAAAAAACAAGCCTCGTGCACAAGAGCCAGCCTGATCCTCCGGCTGCTCCTGGCCTTCATCCACAACTCCCTCAAGCTCCATCAATCCCCAGAAACTTGCAGCTCTTAAAGCTCGGGAGAGGAAGAAGAGGACAGCATGTGAATGCTGCCATGCATCCCTGCTGGGCAATAGCTGTTTTGGGAGAAAACAGAGATTTCTGCTCTGTTCCACATGTTGGTGGCCACAGGGGTTGCAGTGAGGAGGTAGAGAGGCAGTGACGGAGCTCCAGGGCCACCTCGGGAAGTGAAAACCGGGGACATCCAAGCAAACAGGTTGTATCCTGACCCCAGCCTTTGCTCATCTCAAACGCTCCCCATTTGCAGGTTGCTAAGACTTGGGCAAACTTATTAGCATGAAAAAAGAACATGGAAAAGCAACAAAAAGCCTGTTTTTCAGCCCAGTTTGGGGCTTCTTGGCATCGTCTCTTGAGCCCTTTGGTTGCATGGTGTCACGATGAAGTCCCTTCAACACCTGAGCAAGGGGAGCATGCATCCCAGCCTCCCCAGTTCACTTCTCTGCATGTCTGTGCACAAGTTTGTGCAGAGGGGACACGAGCAAGTTTTGCACCTTTTCAAGAGTTGCAGATCTGGGACTTAGACCCACTTAAAGGCAGCTCCTACCGCTTGGAAATGACTGGGATTTGAGGGAGCTCCATCCACCCCAAAGCTTTTTTGCCAGCTCCAGCCATGCCAGCAGTAAAACTCGCTGCCTTTGGTAGCCTGCACTGGTTTTACTTTAAGCTCAGTGCATCTGTCAGGCCGGTTAGTGAAGAACTGTTGCACCTTTCAGCTTAATGATGTATTTTTGTAAAGATGCTCCTTGGCACCGAAATTACTAGCGCAGAAGCAAGGCCCGGCTCCCAAACGCTTGGCTATTCCGCCAGCTATTGCTCTACCCAACGTTAATACAGTTTTATTGCTGATGCTCAGCAATTCTGCGTCTCCACCTTTCCTGTGTTCATTAGCTTGTGCTTTCTAAGGATGGACACCTAGGAAGCAGGTTTTTTTCCATTGGCTGAAACCATTTCTTTTTTTTTAATAAAGTGCTCCCATAAAATATAACATAATAACCGAATTGCCGTGCTCAGGGTCAGTGTTTGAGAAGGAATCAACATAGCGTCAGGGTTGGGTTGACCACGTTGGCCGCCTCGTCCTGCTGCCGGTGGAGTTGGAGGGACATTGCTGACAGTTTAACCTCGGCTGAACCTTTAGAAAATGCACTTGGAAGGGGAATCTGCTCAGAAAATGGGCCCTTTGGAAGGGGGGGAAGACCCCCACAAGCGTCTTTGCCCTGAATTTTCACACTCGGGCTCTTGCTGTGGACCATTGCCTTCCCAAGGAGACCCGTGTACTTGGGATCGATGGAGACTCCTGACCCCGTTACGCTCTCCCAGGAAAGATGCTTGCCCTGCTGTTTTTTCCCCCGGTAACCGTCGCTATCGATACGTTTCAAGACGTTTTAAGCGTGAAATGCTTGGATATTTAAGCTTGCAGTAATGGGGTCGGCTCGTCGCGTAATTGCACCGGTGTCTTGAGGGATACAGGAAACAATCTTCCTGAAACGCGGCCCAGGTGAGGCAGCAAGCAGCAAAACCCACCCTGTCTCCTTGCTCTCCTGAATGAATCTCTAGCATGAATCCTGGCTGATGCTCCTGATGGTCCTGTATCCCACTCCAAATGGATCCAGATGTCTCCCCGGGAGGCTGCCTTTGCCCATCTCAAAGTCCTGATATCCCAGCGGAGCATCTCCTGGGTGGTGAAGCATGGAGTGTTCCCAGCACTGTGGGGACGTTTTGGATGTCCAGCTCACCAGGACACAGGGATGGAGCCCCTGGGTGAGAGCTGCGGGCACAGGGGGAACCGGAGAGACTCCCCATCGCTGCGGATGTGTCAGCCCGAGGAAGCTTCTTGGGATGCAGGTGCTTGGATTCGGATCTCTGCTGCTTTCAGAGGCTCCTCGCTGCTCTCCCTGCCCCAGGCCCAGCTTCCCAGCGCAAAGGAAGGTGGCCCTGGGCTCTCCATCTGTTGTTTCACCAAGGTGCGAGGTATTGAGCTGGCCGAGTTGATTAATAGCCCCAGTAAATTAAAAGACTGGGGAGAAAGGAGAGCAGTTAAAGCTCAAATCTTTCTTCTCCCAGGGCAGGGAAAATAGCAATGCCGAGAGGGAGGGAGAACCCGGGTACTTCCCGGCGTTATTAGCCTGATAACTCACAACGAAGACCAAGAAGAAATCAAAGGAGATGTGGCTTGGAAAAGGGGTGGCTGTTATCTCTGGGACCCGTTGGGCAGGACACATGGATGATTCCTAGCCCTCCTTTGGCACGGGTGGTGCAGGATCTTCCTGGCAGGTAGATGTGATGCTTTGCTGCTGCCTTCATCCTGGGAGGGTTATTTTATACCAGTGGGGTCAAAGATAAGTGTTAGAGCTGAAAGCTGAACTCTGATGTCAGTCCAGGGCTGAAATCGTTTAAATGAAAAATGGCTGTATGGGTTTTCTGACTAATGCCTCAGTTTAAATGGCACGTAGTTGGATAAGCTCCACTTAGGCAACATACCGAAGGGTGGATGTTTTTGCCTGTGTCTATTTTTGCAGCTTTCCTAAAAGCTTTTTGGCTTGTAAATGCAGCTGTGTGTCCCTGGTGTGGTTCTGCCCATGCTCCCATGGGAAAACTGGAGATCTGGAGTAAACGGTGCAGGGCTGCGGGGTTGGCTCAGTGCAGAGCGTGGATTAGAGTGGGCAACACCTGCCTCGCTTGGGGTAATCCGAAACGTGGGTTAGTGCCCGGTGTCTGCAGCCCCCGTTGCCATTGGGATTTACCCAAATCCTCTTTGGCAGCTCCAAGATCAGCAGCCGGCAACTTGTCTCCTCTTGCCTGCTCTGTGTGACCGTGTCGGTGCCTCCGGCTGGTGTCTTGCCTCCCCACTTTTCTTCCCCACTGATATTAAGAAGCAACGTGGTGCTGAGCAAGCTGCACATGGGTCTGTGCCGTGGAGGGCTCAACCGTGGCATGTGGTGGGTTTGTGGGCAATGGCTGGTGCCACCTGAAGCTGGGGAAGGATCTTTCTTGCGCTGGCAAATCCACCAACCTTTCCTGCAAGCTGAAAATCAGGGGCTGGTTTGTAGAGCTTTGCAAAGACGTGAGAGGGGGTGTGGGGCTCACTGCGTGTGCAGGAGAGCATCGTGTTGTCCCCCGCAAGCCCCCATCCTCTCCATCCTGCCAGGTGACGCGCGTGCTCCCTGCAAGCATCTCAGTCTCCCTCTGCTTGTTCCCCTGCAGGCTGGAATGGGTGGAAATCATCGAGCCTCGCACGCGGGAGCGCATGTACGCCAACCTCATCACGGGCGAGTGCGTGTGGGACCCGCCGGCCGGCGTGCGCATCAAGCGCACCAACGAGAACCAGTGGTGGGAGCTCTTCGACCCCAACACGTCCCGCTTCTACTACTACAATGCCACCACGCAGCGCACGGTGTGGCACCGGCCGCAGGGCTGCGACATCATCCCGCTGGCCAAGCTGCAGACGCTGAAGCAGAACACGGAGTCGCCGAGAGCCTCCACGGAGAACAGCCCCGGCCGGAGCAGCAACGTCAGCAGGGAGGGCAGCACCAGCTCCTCCTTGGAGCAGGAGCTGGAGGGCAACGGTGTGGCACCGGCCACAGAACTGCGACATCATCCCGCTGGCCAAGCTGCAGACGCTGAAGCAGAACACGGAGTCGCCGAGAGCCTCCACGGAGAACAGCCCCGGCCGGAGCAGCAACGTCAGCAGGGAGGGCAGCACCAGCTCCTCCTTGGAGCAGGAGCTGGAGGGCAGCGAGAAGGTGCAGGAGCAGCCGCGGTCGAGCCGGCAGTCAACTCAATACGCGGTGGTGAAGGAAGAAACAGAAAGGTGAGAGCGGTGCTGGGTCCGAGTTACAAATAGGGTCTCTCCATGAGGGTGGAGAAAGCAGTCACTGACGGGAGGAAGAGGTGTAAGCACCTTTGAAAGGTGTTTCTTCTTGCGAAGTGCAGCATAGATGTTCTCCTACAAAATCCATGGGAGAACTAATTTCCTAGCTCCCGAAATACATGTTTTTTTTACAAAGTGGTACAGTTTTAAATCATTTCCTTGCATGGGATTCCTCCCTGGCTCTCCCTAACGAGGCAGGGTGACTCCTGCTGCAAGCAGGGTTGTCCCATTGGACTGCAGAGCTTCAGACTGGCCAGGGAGTCAGTGTCCCATTTCTAAAGTTCATTTTTAAAAGGACAACAATGACACAACTGCTGCTCTGTGCGCTTCGTCTCATGCCATTAGCACTTGCAAGCTGCAAGTTGGGCAGTTTGTTACTTAATACATTTTTTTTTCTTAAACAATACCTCCTAAAACATTTATAAACCTTCTTTCCGTGCATCAGTGTGAGCAGTGCTGCTTGCGAATGATGCAAAAATGATGAATGATGCAAAAAATGCAGCTGAATTTCTGCTCATGACAAGTCCTGCAGCCTGCGAGCTTCCTTGCAAGGCAGGTTTTGATGCTCCACAAGGTGGGCGAGCTCCCTTGGGAGCCTCCACAAGCAGCCGGCACCCACCATGGCCAGAGCTCGCGGGTCTGTTCCTCAACTGCTGTTTCTATGGGGAATGCGCGGATTCCCTCCTGAATGGGAACGTGCTTTTTTTCCCCAAGACTTCCCTAAAAGCCCTAATTCCTCCCCCTGTCTGCACTTGTTTCACTAAACTGCAACTGAGAAGAACAGTTTTTCTCTCCTGCTATGTGAGCAGAATCTCCTGTCCCACTCCTTGTCCTCATGTCAAACGCTACATCTGCTCCATGCAGCTCAACCCCTGCTCCAGGCAGCTGCTCTTTCCATGACACTGTCCTGCTCTCAGGGTAATTGCAGCTCCTGCAAAGCTTGGAGAGAAACGGCTGCTTGTTCCTGCAGTAGCCTCAAGGGTTAACTCGGGCTGAACGGCTGGATTTTGAGCTTCATGCAGATGGTGCTGTGCTTTGCTGCAAGAATATGTGCGTGCTCAGTGGCTTCCTGGAAGAAGAGGGAAGATCATTTTCTATTTTAGCTTTAGTACCCTGGATTTGTTTGCTCTCTCTCCGGATTTTCTTCCAGTGTACCGGGCTGCAGAAACTAGCTTGGACCTCGCACTTTGTCCTCCAGCCACACGTTCTCTCCCCTTTTTCAGTCTTTCGGCTATCCAGACATGTTACAGGATCTCTGTGTGGGGGGAACTTGAGGGTCTCCTGTGTGGTGACCGTGAACAGGGATCTCGCTGACAGCTCCCGTAAGCCAACCCCGTGGTCTGCTTTGGTTTGGGTCCTAGCCAGGTCCTTTAGCTTCTCTAGGTCACAGCAAGGCGGCCTCTTCCCTAATTTGCTTTCTCCGTAGAATCCTGGTGGCCTCTTAATAGAGCCTGTGCTTGAAGGCTACATTTTCATATGTAGGAAGCTACGTTTTCATATGTTTTCATGCTGTGTCAACTGCAGAGGAGCCATGGGGTGAAGCATGTGTGGCAGCAGGTCTGTGGCCTGCTATAGTGTGGCCAGGACTTACCTCCTAGTTTAAAAACCAAGCCAACCAACCCCAGGCCCCAGGTGCCACTAGAGGGAGCAGATATTCTTGTTGGGGGACAGTTTCCACCTGCCTCCCTGGAAGTGACACAGGAAGCTGGCCCTGTCCTTCATCTCAGCAAAAATGCCGTATCAACATCCCATTTGGACAGAAGCGTCTTGATGTCTGGAAAACAAGTTCCCTTGACGATCTCCTCAGACAAGGGATGTGCTGAAAGGCCTGGGGAGCTTTGCAGGCACCTTGGAGGTCCCCGGGATCTGCTGAGGGACCAAGTCTCCTGATCCAGACATAGCCCTGTGAGGATGCTGCTGCAGTGCCAAGACACAGAGCTCCTTGGAGCCAAGACGTCAGAGAGGCTGGAGGAAACTCCTGCGGGGCCACGACTGCAGAGCCGGCGTGACCAGGAGGGTTTGTATCCATCTCTGGTTTCCAGGTCCCTCTGGCAAAGCCAAGGAGGGAGGGCTGGCTCTGCTCCCCTGGCCAGAGCTCCCTGTAATGCCGAGATTTCGTCCCCAGCAGCGGCTGATGTTCGCGGGCCCGGCACAGATAAGCGAAACATGAGCTGTGCAAATTAAAAATTGATTTTTGATGGGGGTGATAGCGGCGGCCAAGGGCAGAGCTGGCAGAGGCGCTGGTGCCTCGAGCTCCTGAGCTTCTCGGGAGCGAAGCCAGCCCCGCTTTTCCTTGTTGCTCCCGACCACTGTCAACGGAGAGGAACGAGAGGAGAAAATACTCAAAGATGGGGTTGAGTATAATGGTCTTTCGTTATATAGATATCTAAATATTTAGATCAAGATTATCGTGGCAGTCCATATACGGCTTAAATATTCTTTGACCTGTTAACAACTTTCTTTTTTAAAAAAATAATTTACAGCCTCAAATTTTGCTTTAAGCATGAAGGTACTTACTGTCGTGAACAGACTCCTGCTGCCCCGTGGTGGGCCAAAGAGAAATGGTTAGTGACAGCGGGCAAGACTGTGGCTTTGCAGGAGCCTTCAAGCCCCCTTTGGCCCCATTTTCTGTGATTTGGTGGCCCCGGGCTCTCTGCCCACCTGCATGGTGGCTTTGACCTGGTGGGTGTATAAAGGCTCAAGGTTGATGATCATGGGTGACAGCCACACTCTTCTTTCCATTTCTCACTCTTAGTCATCCTCAACAAAGCGAAGGAGAGTGAAGCAGCAGCACTAATAACCCCGAGACAGGAAGGAGACATCCATGTCCTCAGCATCACTTCTTCCTTTGGAGATAGTGGATGCAAACCCTTTGTTTACATAAAGAGGAGGTTTAAATGGGGGTTTATTTGTCACAGAATCCCAGAACGGCCAAGGTTGGCAGGGACCTCTAGGGATCACCCAGCCCAGCCCCCTGCTCCAGCAGGGACACCTAAAGCACGGGGCACAGGGTGGCATCCAGGCGAGTTGGAAGATCTCCAGAGAAGGAGACTCCACAGCCTCTCTGGGCAGCCTGTTCCAGGGCTCTGGCACCCTCACAGGAAAGAAGTTCCCGCTCGCTCAGTCTCTCCTCACACGATAGATGCTCCAGTCCCTTCACCATCTTCGTGCCCCTGCACTGGGCCCTCTCTAGCAGCTCCACGTCCCTGTTGTCCTGGGGAGCCCAGAACTGCCCCCAGTGCTCCAGGTGCCTCCCCAGAGCTGAGCAGAGGGGCAGGATCCCCTCCCTCGCCCTGCTGGCAACGCTCCTCCTGCTGCAGCCAGGAGCCCATTGGCCTTCTTGGCCACAAGGACACATCGCTCTTGAGGCAACTTGGTGTCAACCAGGACTCCTAAATTCCTCTCCACGAAGCTGCTTTCCAGCAGGTCAACCCCTGGGGTTGTTATTCCAGGTGCAGGACCCTGCACTTGTCCTTGTTGAAGCTCATGAGGTTCCTCTCTACCCAACTCTCCAACCTATCCAGGACCCTCTGAATGGCAGCACAGCCCTCAGGAGTGTTGGCTACTCCACGCAGTTTGGCATCGTCAAAATGAGGGGTCAGATCTAGAAAGTGAGTTTGTGCAGGGCAGGTTGAACGTGCCCTCACATCTAGGGAAGTTCTATCCCCGTCAGCTCCTTCATCATCAGGGAATTTGCTGCTGCCGAGCAAGCTGGACTTTCATTTCTTACATGACTTTAGCCAAATGGGATTTGCATGTAGCTATAATCAGCAGCTGGCTTCGACCTGGGAGACAGTGGTTGGAAGCTTTACCACCTGGATCCACTTGGCAATCCAGCATCTACCAACCTTCAGGCTCCGGAGAGCAGGCTTGTCTCGGTGGTTGGTGGTGGCAGAGTGCTTCCCAGGTAGGTTTTCTTGCTTGTAATATCTTGCCCCATACTTTAATTTCCTTGTCTTAAAAATACTTGCTCCAAACCCTTGCAGATGGCTTCTTCAGGGGGCGGAGAGGACAGTTGCACCTGCATTTAGATGGAGGATTGGCCTGCTCAGACCAAGCAGTGTCACTGCTCTCACTTCACCTGGGGACAAGTGACAAGCTCACACAGGGACAACAGGGAGGGCACATCCTCTGACCCACCAGGAGAGCTCTCCTTCAGCCACCATGCACAACCCTTTGAACGGGGCATCTTCTCCTGAAGGTCCCTGTCCATGCCCAAGTTGCTTCTGAAGAGTTGTGCTTTTCCTGCGGGTCTTTGCCAAGTTACAGAGTCCAGCGTGATAGTGGAGGAGATAGATCTGACTGGATTAAGTGCAGCTGAGCTGAAATAGCTAAGGGGTTTTCTCTTAGAAACCAGTTCTTGAGATGCTTGGGGGCTGTCTGGGCCCGGGCCATGATGCTAATGGGCTCTGTCAGTGTCTCGAAGAGCAGGGCACAGCTCGGGGCTCGGCCGTGCCACTTTGCAGAGCAACTCTCCTCCCTGCTACAGGAACAGCCGTTCCCTTCCTGCAGAGCCCCCAGACACAGAGATGCAGCCTCCAATTAAGGAAAACGCTCGTTTGGCTGGTTGTGGAGAAGCTGCTTCTCCGAACCTTAGGGGATTGGAAAAATCAACTATTTTGTTCACGGCTGTTTCGATTTGTTCTCTTCTCTGAAGGTAACGCAAAGATCCCCTGCGCCAGGCTGGAAGCACAGGTGGGTCAGTGACATAAGCGTCCCCACAACATCTGCTGCATGGGGAGCTTCCAGGTCTCTGCAGAGATCTCTGCCCCCCGCAGAAACAAGCCCTGCAGCAATGAGCAGCTCACAGAGGGCTCCCAGACCGATGTTTTGGCTCAGACTGAGGCTTAACGCATGAAATCCGGAGTTCAGCTTCTTTCCTTGGGTGGCCCGTCACTCTGGATGCCACGCAGGGCTTCAATTTTGCTGCCTGGGTGGCA